GTAATCGTATTTACATGTGGTATGAAGTTGACTTATTTACGGTCTATTTCTTTGTTTGGCAATTCGTTTGCCTTATTTATAAATGGCTTCATCAGGATCTACCGATTCTTTCCTTCACTCTTCATCAAAAGTTTATTTGCTTATTTATGGCATTTTTAGCATTCATGATATACGATGTTTTATCACTGCTTATACCTACATATATCGGTTTTGGTTGCATTTGGCTAATGTCTGTTATAGATGTGTAAGTGTTTCTTTTCTTTCAATCGCTAAGCATCATTTTCCGAATTACATTGTAAGCACTACTGAAAGTAATTATTTGAGAGATAGTCAACCGCTTAAGATATAAATATATTCACATTTAAATACATATTTTAGATATTAGTAAAGTCTATGTAAATATTCATTTTTTATGGTAATAAATAGAGCGTCACAAGTATACTTTCCCTTGATGATCAATATGATCGAGACTACTTTCAAGTTAAGAACTTTTTAAATCTTTAATCTAGAGGAAATTTTTTATTTGTGTCAAAATAAATTTGGTATGGCAAACTTATACACAGTTTTTTTTTGTATTACATTCGATCAGTCTACTATCTATGAACTAATTAATATTTAACATGCTAATCATGAAGAAACATTCAGATATTCGTGTAGTGAATTAGATTGATCAATTGATAATCTAACTTATTTTGTTCAGTAGCGAATTATGCTTTTTTACTCTTGTTCGAAAATGCAAAAAAAACCGAATCATTGAAAAATCCCTTTCATCAGCTTTTTCAGATGTTGTACTCATAAAATATTCCGCTATATATTATCTATTGAAAAACTATTGGTAAAATGTCAGAGTTTGAATGATTTGAGGATAAAAACATCAGACAATCTGATATCTGTACGATGCAAGTCAGGCTTTTGTACGTATTTCTACTAGAAATCTGAAGCAAATAGTCTAATTACACTGAATTCTAACGAGTAAAGTGCAAGATGGCATTCTATTTTTCAAACAATGTGTCACAAAGTATTCAAACAATGAATTGTCTGATTTATATTAAAAACGAGAATTATATGAATTTATTTAAATGTTCTAAACAAGAATAAAGTCATTCCTATGCCCCAATACCTCCCACGATCTTGAGAAATTTTCGTTTTTCCCAAGCTATTTTCTAGCGTTCTATTCGTTATTATTCTCGCCAATTTTGAAAAAATTTCATGACCTTCTCCACTTCCAAAATTCGGTCAATTTGAGCAAAAGTCTTCCAGTTTGTTATATCAGTCGTCGACATTTATGGGGGGGGGGGGGGGGGGGGGGGGGGGGGGGGGGGGGGGGGGGGGGGGGGGGGGGGGGGGGGGGGGGGGGGGGGGGGGGGGGG